AACACATAAAAAAACAAAAACAAAAGAAAAACAAAAGTGGTCACCTTTTCTGAGGTGAGAATACACAACTTGGGCAATCCGAAGAGTCCTGACTCCTTGACCTGTGGGTACTTCTGGTAGCGAGCCAGGTTGATGGCGTACATGTTGGAGACAGAGCCACCTGGTGGGAGTAGAAGTAAGCGGCATGACACAGAGAAATCAGGCGCTCGTCAATTTTTAGACTAAGTGCTGGTTTACTTAGTTTTTTGGGGGCAGAAGTATATTAAATGAAATCAGGCGCTTGTCAATTTTTGGGCAGAAGTATATTAAATGAAATCAGGCGCTTGTCAATTTTTGGGTAGAAGTATATTATGTGAAATCAGGAGCTTGTCAATTTTTGGGCAGAAGTATAGTATGTGAAATCAGGCGCTTGTCAATTTTTGGGCAACAATATATTTTATGTGAAATCAGGCGATTGTCAATTTTTGGGCAGTAGTATGTTATGTGAAATCAGGTACTTGTCAAATTTTGGGCATATGGAGTCATAGGTATCATAACGTAAAGCGCATGCAGTCGCCTTGTTCTTGTTTTCGATGAAAAACTAATACGTAACTATTGAGAATAAATAAAAGTCGGGAATTTCCGGCTGGTGTTGTTTTATGTCAGAGGCAAAACTTGCGAGAAAATAGATACCAAAATTGTGAGACTTCCAAAGCTTGAATGTGCAACGGCAAGTTTACATTAATTATTTGTGCGCCTTTGATCAATGTGTTTCAGAGAGAGAGTATTCACATAACATTTATTTATCTCACTCTTTGTGTCCAATTGTGTCTCTCTTCTTATATATCACTGTGTGGGAGAATACGTGAGTGCCCGACCATCTATCTGTCATTCTCAATCTATCTATCTATCTATCTATCTATCTATCTATCTATCTATCTATCTATCTATCTATCTATCTATCTATCTATCTATCTATCTATCTATCTATCTATCTATCCCCCTCTCTCTCTTTCTCTGTCTGTCTGTCTATCTGTCTGTCTGTCTGTCTGTCTGTCTCCCTCTCTCTCTTGCCCCCCCTCCCCCCTCACTCTCTCATTCCCCCACACCCTCACCCCTCCCTTCCTCCCCCTCTCACCCTCCTCTGTCTCTCACCCTCCTCCCCCCCCTCTCTCTCCCCCAACCATTGTCCCCCCTCCCCCGTTCTCGACAACGAGTGGCCACCTTGAACTAGTCCCAATGATTGTACACTGTACGGCTCACGTGCAATGAGCTCACCACTCACCAGGACAGAAGATGGCGTCCCCGTCTGGGAATCCGATGAGCCGGAGCATCTCTCCCAACACCGCCTTCTCCATCAGAGTAAACACTGGAGCCACCTCGTACGTGTACCTGTGGGGGGGGGGGGGGTAGGGGTGGTGGTGGGATAGCAGGGAATGAGGTAATGAGGGAGGAAGGGAGGGAAATGAGGGAGGGGGGAGGGACGGTTATTGTTGGTTTTGTTACGAATTCGTCGCTGTAGTTAACGCCATAGCAACAAGGGGAAGTTATTGTATACTTTTGTAACCAGATCATCACCAGAGTTAACGCCATAGCAACAAGGGGAAGTTATTGTATACTTTTGTAACCAGATCATCACCATAGTTAACGCCATTGCAACAAGGGGAAGTTAGTATATTGGTTTTATAATTAAAACGAAATTATCATAAGCGTCGTTCTTAAACTATGGACATTTTTTGTTTGATTTTGTAAGGAAATCATAATTAGAGTAATTATCATTGCACTCGGATGAAAATTGCAGTTTGATTTTCAAAATCTGTACAATTGACTTCATCGTCGTCTTTCCTACAACCGTTGTAGTCGTTGTTATTATTCTTAAAGTAGAAGCCTTAGATTTGTGTGAAAACTAAAAATCCCCTATCAACCTACGCCACTATAAGCACTATTAGAGTACCAAAAAGGCTGTGTGTGTGGGGGGGGGGGGGGGATTCAGAATCCAACGTCTGTCTCTGATAGCCAAATTATGGGTTGAGAGCCTTGGGAAAACCCCCCCCCCCCCCCAGAAAAAAAGACCTGAGTTCAAGAAAACACAGTACGG